ATGCAGGAGCTTCCATCTGAATGTCAGGAAGCAAGCACTTGTTTACATGCGTGCCACTGAAGTTGCCTACAGGGACTGGATTCTCCATGCATGTCAAGACAGTCTTACAGATTCTTTTGTGAACTGAGTACTTCGTGCGTCTTATATTGCATTCTTTATAGTAGTGGACAGTGGAAGCTACTGGGTGGCTTAATAAGAAAGCAAGAACTACAGGAACATTGACTGTTACTGTGACAATAAGAATACAGGAGAACAGTGTATAAGAACTACATACAAAAACACAGGAATGAAATTTAGAATGAACTTCTGGTAATGGGTGGTAACGGGTGTAGATGAGTTCTCAGTGGTCACAGTTTATGTTATTTTGAAAAAAAAAAGGGTGTTTACAAGAAATGGTAGAGACTGAGAATGAATGTGGCTGAGCATGAAATGTGCCTGATTTTCTTCCTCAGTCTGCCTGAAAGCCACAAACCTGATTTTGCCTAAATGTTTCTATCATGTGGTCAGATAAGCCGAACTCTTATCTCTCAGTAGGATTATGTATGTGCACTCTGCATTGACGTCAAGAAGCCTCATTGCAAATCAGTATTTTTTAAATGTAGCAATTTCTGTGTGTTTTAGCATGTGGTAACTTGAAATGTCCTTTCTGTGTATGATCTCACAGTTGAGATCAATATGAGTGTTCATTCATTTACATATTTGGTTTTAGTATCTATTTCCACAGAGAATCTACTAACTTCTCTTATTTTTTCCACCCTTAAAAAAATGTGCAGCGAAAGTAAGAGTCACATCTGAAAAGTTACTGAGAGGAGAAAAAATAGATTGAATACGTGTTTATTGTGCAAAAATTCTAATCATAGCATTTTCCTATTTCATTCTTATGCACCTTCAAGAAGCAGTAAAAACATGGCAGGCTTTTTAGTATATTCATGACTGTGAGTGGGTGAGTGCGTGGACTGAGGAGTGGGTGACCAAGCACAGATTTTTCTGCATGGTTCTCCTACTCTCCTTCACTCTCTAAATAGTTTTTTTTAAAAAAACTCCTATTATGTGAGCTTTTACAGTCAGTCATAGAGACATTTTAATCCTAGTTGTACAAGAAATGTATTGTTTGCCATATTAATATTGAAGGGAATCCATGTGATAATCAAGGGAGAAATTAAACACTGGAAAATGGTTTTGTTTATTAGCGTATATATGTACAGAAACCACACTGATGGAATATCTCAGACTGATGTGTATCAAGAAAGAGGAAAGAATGGTGCCGTGTCACTATCCCAATTACTTTAAAAATGGAAAATGAATAGAAAATGATTTTGTTTGAAGCCCTATTCTTTTCTGCATAGAGATCCTCATTATGAAAAAAAAACTCCCTAATGTCAGGTTTTTTACCAGGGTACTGGAAGCCACTTCTTTTTTTTGTCCTTGAGAACAGAATGGGTCAGCTCCTTCTGAGCTGTGTTTAGGTATTTATGAGAGCTGCTTGTGAGGCATTCCCTTTTATCTACATACTGCCTTACAAGTTGGTTCAAATGCTATTAAAAGAACCATAAAAACTCATGACTGTAATTTACAGATAGTCTGAATCATTAAAAAGTTAGCAAAGATTGGAGTATTAGTTTTTTACATAACCTGCTGCCTATAACTTGTACTGTTTCTCTGAAGAAATGCATCATAAGTCTAATGTGCTATGGCAAAGACAAAGAAATTGTTTCACATCTGTATGTCTTTGTTGTAGCAAACAGAGAAAAACACGCTGTTTTTTAACTTCTCCCCC